ATACATTTGTGTTCCCTGGAGGGATGCCGCACCCTGGAGGAGATGGCTGGATCCCTCGTGGTTGCGTGGAATGCTTGGGCAGTGGCAAGCAGGGTTGCGGGCTTCTGCAAATAATAATCATTGCTCAGTAAAGCTCCGTCTGCATCAGGGGTCTCCAGCCTTTTTAAGCACAAGATCACTTTTTGAATGGAAGTGAAAGCCAAGATCTATCTCGTACCCAAATACCCTTGTCCCACCTCCTTTGTGCTCCTTGTCCTGCCTCTCTCCTTCCCTCCCCCTGCTCGCTCCATCCTCTCTCCTTCCCTCCCCCATCCTCACTCACTTTCGCCAGACAGGGCAAAGGGATGTGCAGGCTCAGGTCTTGGATTAAGGGATCTGGAGTGCAGGAGGGGCTCTGAGCTGAGCCTGGGGCAGGCCATTGGGATGCCAGAGGGGGTTCTAGGTGCAGGCTCTGGAAGGGTGTTTGGATGCCTGGGGGCTAAGGGCTAGGGCAGGGGCTTGAGGTGCAGGAGGGGGTTCATAACTGGGGTAGGGGTTCAGGATGTGGACTCAGCTGGGCACTGCTTAGCTCAGGTGGCTCCTGGGTGGTGGTGCAGCGGGGCTAAGGCAGGCTCCCCCCGCCCTGGCCCTGCCAGCACACTTGCTCTAGCCCTAGTCCTGCTGTGCCCCCTCTCTGCTCTGTGCAGATAGGTGCCCCTCTCTCCCTCCCCTTCCTGCACAGCAAGCAGGAGGCTCCTGGGGAACAGCTCCAAGGCAAAGGGCAGGAGATGCGCAGCAATGGGAGGAGGAACAGGTGAAGTGCTGGCATTTGATAGCCATGGGGCCAAACCAGTTAGGATCCGCTGTCAGAGGCTTCAAGATCTGCCAATAGATCCCGATCCACTGGTTGGTGACCACTGGTCTACATAAATCCTTTTGCCCACACTGGTTTTGTGATGGAGCTGATGGGTTTTGGGATAGGGACTCTGGCCCGCAAAGCTTCAATCCCCTTTCCTCATGCCCTGGAGGAAACAAACATCTGGGGTTATGGCGGCTACTTCAGGGTTATAGGGCTGCCCCACTCCCACTGCTGTGTGGGAAACGATGTCATCATGGTTTGCAGCCAGCTAAATCTGCTCCTTATCCTGAAATCTCCAGCAGGCAGTGGCAATCACTTCCAGTTGATCTCTTAAGCCGGGAAGTCCCAAGGCGGATCCAGGACAAACCCCTCCCCCACAGATCCTGCCCCGCCCCACTATGTCCCCTTTGTCCCCCGCTTTTGTATTTCACTGCCCACCATGCTAGGTCCTGTGCAAACCCCTGCCTGCTTCCTACGCGCTCTGGTTCTGAGCTCAGGAGCAGGCTGACAGCATTGGCGTGCTTATAGACGCCGCCTCCTCTCCTGAGTGCTTTGCAACTGGTGTTCAGTCTGGGCCTGGCTGCACCGTTCTGATCGTGCTGAAGCCCTGTGTTTTTCTTGGTGTTGAGTGCCTGGTGGGCTGGTAGCGTGCCAGGACATAGCCTTCAGTAATTAGCTTCCAGATCCGTCGAGCAACCTCGGCAGAACCTGGGTCCACTTTGGTTTCCAACCCTGCTGTGCGTCATTCAGATCATAGTGGAGAATATTTTCGTGTGATAAAGCAGTATTAGACCGAGCTATGATCCGGTTTGTCTTCTGCTGTATTGGGCCCCCTTCCTAAAGCTGCTGAGAGCTCACTTGCTGGGAAGATGGCTCAGACATATTTTAATCGGAAAGCTTCATTTGGAATAGATTTGAGTGTTAGGGATTCTCACTACATGCCATGTCGGGGGCAGCTTTCTTTCAGCGCTTTAAAGTGGCAACAGTCCCCAACAAGCGGTCCTCTCTCTCTTTGGTAACTGCGGCTTAAGCCTTTGCTTGAGGCCCTTATTTGGCAATCTGACTCCAAGGGCACAGATCAATGCTGAGTGTTAGTGCGTCTCTGCCACTCGGTGGTATTTTCTCTGGGGTCCTCTTAAGACACACAGTGGTTATTAAATTACCCAGTAAGAATCACCCTGACCTGCTGATGCTTACTGGTAACTGGCTAACGGGTGCCTGGCCCAGCCAGAGCAGTCCCCCGCCCTCGCTGCAGGCAGGGCTGGACCCACTGTGGGCAGGGGGAAGGCTACTCCAGCAACCACCTACCCACTGCGTGACATGGTAGGCAACCAGGAATGGTGGGTGGGCTGCATGAGTAGCCCTCCTTCACCTCAGTGGCCTGTTGAAGCTAGTGGCCCACTGGAGGTCCACCTGTAGCCCTCCTGTCTGTCCCCTTCACCCACCTCTTGAGCACCAGAGCCACGAACTTACCTGTTCCTCCCCCTCCCTCCCAGAACTTTTGGAAGAGCCTCGAATTGCCTGATTTGCACTCTGTCCTCATTCCTTCCCCTCCCTCCCCGAGTTGGATCACTGCAAATGAGCTATTCGTGGCATTCCGGCTCTGGGAGGGAGGGGGAGAGAGCAGTTAACTGGTTAACATTTTAAATGGGATTTTACATCCCTAATTGCTTCTTAGAACTTTCAAATCCAGACTTGAAGTTATTCTTTTCAGCTTCTGCAAAGTGAAGAGTTTTCTGTGGTTTGGTTTTAGTATAACCTCACGACTGTCCTGACACAGGGTGTGTAGAGTCCTTGTGCTGCCCGGTATGGAGGCTGCTGGCTTCTCTCCACAGGCATTGGTGCCATTGAAGCTTTTCAGGACAATGTAAAAGGGAAGACCATCATACTGCAGTTCCTATTTTGTAAACAAACGATATCCTGGCTGGTTGCAGGGGATAGCTCAGTTAATCTGTATAGGAAAAAATAACACATGGTCAGGTAGCGCATGTTTAGTTAGTCTGTAAAATGGTACCAGACCATCTGTTGTTATATCCTCACTGTTGATGGTGGGTTTATTTGGCTAGCTTATTTGACTTCCCTGTGTTTAAGCTGTGTGTGGCACTACTGCATTCTGCCAGTCATGAATTGTGACCCTGTAATATTTATACCAGGACTACTCAACTTTGGAAGCTTGGGGGAGTGAGGGCTGCAACTTAAGTGTGGTTGCATAGACATGCAAATATATATGCAAATAGTTTCTTTCATACTAACTGACATGAATACAAAGATTAAAACAAGACTACACAACACGCAGGCCCCATTTAAGTCAGTTCTGCCGATATTAATAAAATGCAATATTTACCTGATTTCCACCCATATGACTGCACTTTTAATGAGCAATGACAATCCAGGAGTTTAACTACTAAAATGCATATCAACAGAAGGCCATTATATGGACTACTTTTTTTTGTTTTGGCTTCCATGCGCAGGCCGGATGTTGAGCCCCACGTAAACCCAAACTGCACCATGGGCCACAAACAAGTGGGCCGTGTGCCACGTGTTGAGTAGCCCTGACTTATACAAGCATATTGTTACAGGTTGAACCTCTCTAGTCCAGTACCCGTGGGACCTGACCGGTGCCGGACCATGTGAGGCCAATATTGTCTAGTTGCAGTATGAGCACTTTCACTACTTCCTGGGCTCTGAGAAGACATTTTGGGGTACATTAGAGCTAACTAACAGCACAGAACCCAGAGCCAGGACTGGGGGCTGTAAATAACCTTTACGGGGCCGTGGGAAACTTGGCCACACCCAGGATACGTGGACACACAGCTAACTCAAGTCATGCTGGACCACGGATGTTGCTGGATTAGAGAGTTCCAGGCTAGTGAGGTTCAACCTGTACTATATGTCTTATATGAGCAATCTTTAATGTGAGGTTGCAGTCAGTAAATGACATCGAATGGACCTTCTTCATCGATATAGGTTCTTGCCTTCCTAACACATCTTTACTCTGCTTGTCCTTTGAGTAATCTGGGTTCTGTTCAGCAACAAAATGGTTGCCCATGTTTGGTGGCTGGCCCGTTCTTGTACATGGCGATGTAAGAGAGAAGGATTAGTCCTCTTTTCCTTGAAAGAAATATCTCCTTTTTGACTTGTAACTGCAAATATGATATGCAGGTAGCAGGACGAATATGAGCTCCCGTGATCTTCTGACAAATCATGCTTTAGTTCCCTAGCTTTGCGATAAATTACGACATTTGTAGGCATAGTATAACAGAAGGGGCAACAGGCAGCTGTTTGTTTCTGCATGGGAGAGTGTTTTACCTTTGTCTCTCCTGCCTTTGGAATCAGATTTCTACATTTGTGTTCAGAATGTGCATGCTCCTGAGGGACGTTCTCACGCACCTTCTGTTGGGTTCCTGTTTAAAAAGTCTTGAAAGGAAACAGGCTAGGAGAACAGTACTAGAATAATCTGTTTAGCTTCATAAACCTGATTAGCCAAGACTCTTAAACTGTGACAATACAGGACTGTTCTTTCCCTGAAACCTGTTTATCACTGTCCACCAGGCAGCCTCACAGCCTGTCAAGGTGAATCCCAGTGTGACTCTAGTCTAAGGCAACCCTTAATACTGTTGGTCTGGTTGCATTTTGTAGACTAACACAACATGTAGATAGTATCATGGGCTGTGGCCACAAAAGCTCGTGATCCCATCTCCATGTTTTGGAGACAGTGCTGCCAGACCATTGGTTGTTTTTTTCTGTACCAGACTAACTCAGTTATCCCCTGAAGCTCTTAATACTGTTATTCAGTAATTGCCTCGAACTGGGTAATCTGCATTCTTCTGAGACACCGCCCTTCCCAGGAGGCAGCACTGTAGCTCTTTGCAGCTGACGCAATCCAAGTTTCTTTTGTCAAGTGCTTGCTGAGTTGGAATAGCTTCTCTGCATGCTCGGTTTGCTTAACACCGACTTATGGCCTTTCCTTTTAGTTTCCAGGAAGGGTTTAGCATGAGATTGTCATGGTGTAATGTTGCACGCCTTTGTTGTGGCTTGTAAAATTCAAGGCATAGACTGGATATTTCACAAGGCCTTATCTACACACCAAGATGCGTCAGTTCATTCCAAGGTGAGTGTTGAACACAGGTTAGTTAACAGAGCGCAAATGCAGTGCACTCACTGCATAGATCATTTAAAAAATGTTAAACCTATCCTCCAGCCATTTAGCTTGTTACAGGTGCTAGTTAAACAAGTGTCACTAGTTTTTAGTATGTGTCCACACAGGCGTTCGCACTAGTTTAACTAAGTCTGTTTAAATTAATTTTAGCTACGTTGGTACGACTTGCGTGTAGACGAGGCTTAACACAGCTTTGTACCAGTGCCTGAGATTCTGACCTTGCTCTATGCCTAGACTCTGACTTGGCTGCACGTTAATTTCTTTGTGTGTCTGTTGTCCAGTTTCATTTTCTCTCCTCCCCATCATATCTTTTTCAATTAAGGATGGAAGAGACTAGTCGCTTCCCCCCTCCCCCCCCAGCTCTATCGCGGGGTGAGTGGGGATTGCTTGAGTCCCCATGCTCCCTGTGGCGCCTGCCTCTATGAGAGGCAGCAAGGTGGGGAACAGGAGCCAGTGCTGAGGGGAGCCAGCTTAAAAGCCGGTTCCCCCCAGCACTGTCTCCAGGGTGCAATCTGCTTCCTCCCGCCTCCCCGCTGCCTCCCTCTCTCCCCCTGTTAATAGGTAACCACAATTTAACATCCTTATTTTCAATAAGTTTTTATTTATTAACCAACTCCCTAGTTTTCTGCACTGGAGTTGCTAGTGTTTTTTTGACACTTTCAAACATGGCTCAGGTTATTTTGGCTAAGGAGCCCAGTGGGTTTGAAAAATAAACAGACTGAATGACTTTCGCCATTTGTTCTATGGGTTGAACCTCTCTAGTCCTGCACCCTCAGGACCTTACTGGTGCTGGACCACGGGAGGTTAGTATGGCCCAGCAGCATCACAACACTCCCGCTGCTTGCTGGGCTCTCAGAAGACATTGGGGGTAAATTGGAGCTAAATCACAGCCCAGAGCCCAGAGCCAGGACTGGTGGCTGCAGACAGACTTTCTGGGCAGCTTGGCCACGCCCATGGTAAGTGGTCATCCGGCTAACTGAAACCCTGCCAGGCCAAGGCTGGTGCCGGACTAGAGGTTCAACCTGTACTTCCTGAACAGTACGACTTGGTACCTCTTTGCCCACAGAGTTTGGTGAGAAGAACACAAGAGAAGCTGTTTTGTGCAGGGGGGGGCTATCCCCTCCTTTCTCCGCTCAGTTTGATTCCCCCTCCCACCCTGGTACCTTCTCCATGCGGCCGCTGAAGGAGTGGGATGAGCTGCTGCCCATGCAGCCAAAGGTCACTGCTCCCCTTGTCAGCGCTCATCAAAGCCCATTTCTTACAGCAGACAATATGCAGCTGGTTGATGGTTGGTGCTGGGAGGGGCCCTCTGCCTTGGGGCCTCAATAGGCGTGTCTGCTGTCAGCAGGGAGCCTGCTATTGTTAGCTTGCTGGCCTAAGTCAGTCAACAGCTGCCTCCTGATGCAGTGTGGCCCCATCGCTGTGTTTCTGGCCTCACGCCCCCATAGCCACTAGGGGTGTAAAATCCCGGGTAACTGGTTAACCACATTGTTTAATCAGTTAATTGATTACATGGGAGGTAGGTGGGGAGGACCTCTCCAGCCCAGCTGGAGCTGCCCCCCATTGATTCGCTGGGCTGGAGCTGCTCCCCTACTGCCAGAGGTGGGGCACCCAGGCACGCCACCGACAGGCTTCAGCTGGAACGCCTGCGATAGGTAGCAGGGAAGTGAGTGAGTAGTCGACTACCATTGTTTAATCAGTTAATTGATTACATGGGAGGTAGGTGGGGAGGACCTCTCCAGCCCAGCTGGAGCTGCCCCCCATTGATTCGCTGGGCTGGAGCTGCTCCCCTACTGCCAGAGGTGGGGCACCCAGGCACGCCACCGACAGGCTTCAGCTGGAACGCCTGCGATAGGTAGCAGGGAAGTGAGTGAGTAGTCGACTACTTGCTCCCCACACCCCGCTGCCGGGAGAAGCCGGAGCCAGTTCCCCCAGCATGGTTTTTGCGGTGCTGGAGGCCATGGGATGCTGCCGCAAAGCAGCCTCTGCTTGCAGCGGGCCCAGGTCCTCCGCGGGCTGAGGCTGCTCCAGCAGCAGCCCCTGTCTGCGGGAGATCTGAGCAGGGAGCTGGGACCCCCTGAGGACAGGGGCGGATGGACCCAGCATGATCTGGGACTGAGCAATCCCAGCTCAGTTGTGGCTCGTGCCAGTCCGCGAGGTTGCCTTGTCCTAGCTCACGCCGGGTCCGGGGCCTACCCCTGCTGCTCCTCTGCAGTTTAAATGTAGCAGGAGCTGGGCTGCCTGCCCACCCAACTCTTACTACGTTTAAACTGCAGAGCCGCTCCGGGCCCTGGCGCGAGCATGCAGGGAGGCAGTCTTCCCCGATGAACTAATTGTGTTGTCGATAAAAATGTTATCAACTCCACAGTTAGTGGATTATCTGCCTCTTAACATCCTTAGTAGGGAGGAGCGGCTCCACACCTTGCTGGCTAATCTTAACTGGTAAGTCTCACCCATTAAGAGTGAGGCTTACGGGTTGAACATTTGTGTGTTCCTCTCCCCCATGGGCTTCTGTTGCTTCTTGTATCTGACTCCGAGCTGCGGTGGTTCTGCAAGCATTTCAGGTGTGTGTCTGGAACTAGTCGTGAACCACTGGAATTCATCGGATCTCCTCAGAAGCAGGCTGCCTAGTTCCTGTTGGCTCTGGGAACTCTTCTGCCTTGAATGCAGGACTGCTTCCCTGTGCAGGCTCCCAGGTGGGAAAGTGCTGTCTGGCATGACGCCTCCCTTACAGAGTTTGCTGTACCCCAGTGTGCTGGGGAAGGCACAGTGCTTTGTGGAATGGTTGTCAAGAAAGAGGGAGCTTGAAACGGAAAAGGAGGTTTCTCGCCATATCTCACTGTGCTGCTTTTGTTTCCCAGATTTGCAAAGTTTTCACTGGCGGTTTGTTTGTATTTTGTCGCTTGATCTTCCGGCCCTGAGAAGCCGATGACAGGATTGTCTGGGGAACTAGGTTCAAAACAGTTAATTCATCCCACTTACTCTCTTGCACCCCAGCGTGCTACCATGCCCAGATATGCAACTTGTATTTAAAGCCCCCACCTGGCCGTTCACGTCCATGAGTAAATTCAGATTGAATTCTTCTTTCCATGTTTTCTTCCTGTTTTGGCCACTGTTCAATAGAATGATTTTACTGAGCAGCGCTGCCTGTCACCAGATCTGCTGTGCACAAGTGCAGCGCTGTGCTTTCTGCTGCCCAGCTTGGCGAAGATTCTAAATCGCGTGTTTCCTTGCGCTGTCTGAGAGCGATCACTTCTGTTTGAAGGGAGGCGGGCTGCCGTTTCTGCCAGTGCGACGTGCGGGTCTGGCGGGGAGTACCGCTCCAGAACATTGTGTTATACGTGTAACAGACAGCAAAGGGGGTTAAGAAGCAACAGACAGCGGCTGTTCTGAGAGTCTGACTGGCTGAGCAAGGTCGTCTCCCGTTCTCAGAGAGATTCGATGACGTTTCTTTGAATCTGTTTTAGGACCCGTCGTACCAATCAGCTTCTGGGACGGCATGTTTTCACTACGGCGCCTCAGCATGGGCACTCCCTCCTTCACCAGAAGGGGGGTTTCTAAGCCGTCTCTGGCAGAGCCAGCAGCTAGGCAGACAGAATTCTTTTGTTAATCTACTATAGGCTAACAGATTTATTGGAGCATAAGCTTTCGTGGGCAAAGACCCACTTCGTCAGATGTATGACATGCATCTGTTAGTCTATAAGGTGCCACAGGACTTTGCATTGTTCTTGCAGATTCAGACTAACACAGCTACCCCTCTGACATTTGTCAATCTAGCCACCTCCTCAGGGCTGGTGATGTTAATCTAACTGTGGCACACAGGATACACACAGCTCCAAGTGACGTAGCTAGGTGGATCTGATTTTTAAGTGCATACTTGGCCTATGTCTTCCCTGATTCAGCAGAGTAGTTTTCCAGCAGCTGTCAGGCAAGTGGCATGGAACAGTTGTCTTGGGAGTGGGAGAATAATGCGTGCACAAGTAGTGATCAAAGCCAATCTAAGCTAGTGGCCCTTAAGTTCACTGGTTTCAGATCTTAAACCTGACAATGACAAGAAGTTCATGGAAAAAACACCAAGTTGGCAACTTTCAATTGAGTCTGTGCGGTGCCTTCAGAATCTAAGCAGTCTTAATATTCCTGAAAAGCAACAGGTATTGCCAGGGGCAGAGGGTATGCCCACCCGCCCCTGCAAGAACCCGGCTCTTGAGCTTGTTTTTAAAGTTGTTGCTTTAGAAGCCTGAAGCATAAGGTGTAGGGATGTGAAAAATGTTTAAAAATCGTAACCGTGTAAGCCATGGAAAATGCATTGGTTAAACAGGCTCTGCAGGCCGCCAGCCGGCCCCTTGGGATCCAGGCTCGCCACCTATGCTCCCTAGCAGAGTTTAAACAGTAACGGAAACCAATAAGCTGATACTTACCGGTTAGCCATTTAAGCTCTTACATCCCTAATAAGGTGCTTTTGAGAGAATACTGGCTAGATGTGTGAAAAGAAGCCTGGGATAGTAAATGGCACTGCTTTTGAAACAGACGCCTTCAGCCTGGTGGATTTCACTATGGCACATAGCCAGCGTTTGTAATACCTTTAATAGGGTGAGAGCGAAAACTCGCCTTCAGAAAATAGCCTTGTGAAAACGGCTTTGAGTAGAGGCGAAGGGGCCGCAGCTTCCTGATCCTGCCTAGACAAGGAATCCACATCGCATTCCTGTCAGACGTTTCCCTATAGCTATGTCCTGGGCACAGGACATCCAGCTAACAGCCTCTGGGAATGGGTTTTTCATTTGTATTTAGTGCTGCAAATACATGTGGCTTTCCACAGGCCTGCATGGCCGCCCCACTCGCCTGCATTGCTCTAGCACGAGCGCGATGAGGCCTAGCAGTCTGCCGCCTGCAGATCTGGGCACTGGGTCGGCTCTGAATGGCCGACGATTCGGGGCAAGGAGAGCAGTGTAGAGAGGGGCTTGAGGACAGATGTCCTTTGTGTACACAGTCCTGGGGATCGGCCTGCATTCAGCTCTCCTCTGTCTCGGCGTCCCTGTGGCGTCCGGAAGCCTTGGGAATGAATTTCCTCAGCCTTTGGGGAGGGACAGGCTGATATTCCAGATGGCTGCTGCTCTGCCCCTCACTGAGGGGAGGGTTCTGTGGAAGCTCGGTTTTATTTCCACCTGTCCGGGGAGCAGAGTCTGCGTGGCTCTGACCAACCTGGGCTTTCCGCTTGTGCTGCAGGTGGCTGCTGTGGCTCCGATCTCAAGCAGTATGTGTTCGGAGGCTGGGCCTGGGCTTGGTGGTGCATTTCTGACACACAAAGGTAAGGAGACGCTCTCCCCTGGCTTGTGTCCTTGGGGTGGGTAAAGCTTCAGGCTCCCTGCAGTACCTTTAGGAACATAGAATTGGCCAAACACGATCAAACTGCTGGTCCCAGAATCCTGCCTCCAGCCATGGCCAAGATGTGCTTCAAAGCACCCCTGAAACGCTTCTGAAGGGCTGTGCAGAGTTGTAGGAGCAGTGGGAAGGAGGGAAGGCCCCTTGGGGCCCTTGAGAAATGTCCTGAAGCACGAGAGCTAATTACACCCCTTCAGGATGACTTTTGGGTCCCTAACACCTGCACAGGTCCCTTTACCAGCTCTCGGATTCAGCCTCTGGCCTTCTGCTGCTGGGAGTTCCAGGGACTGAGAGTGCGGGGGGTCCTGAAGAAATATTTACTGCAGTTTTAAATGAACGACCTATGAATGTTGTCCTGTTCAAATCAGGACCCCCGGAACCGCCTGTTCTCAGCACAGTTTGGCTCTGGCTGCATTCTCGATGTTGATCATTTGTACAGACATGCCCATGTGACATGACGACAGTCTCCTTTCAGCTGCAGTATTCTTCGGACAGCTGTTGTGTGCCTGCATGCCTCCCCCTTAATGTATTGCTGAATTTTGTCCAGATACCTCAAAACCAAAGCAAAGCAGGAGGGGCCATGCCTGCATTTTGCTAATGAACTGATTTGTCTTTCTATGTTGCTAAAATCAGTCCGTGTTGGGGCGTGTAAAAACTTTCCCTTGCTCTCCCCCGGCTGTGAGGCAAAATGCAGTGCCAGGGTATTAGAGGAGCTTTGCAGGGGGGCTGGCTTCCCTCTGCGGCTGCCTGGTTTGCCTGTCAGGATGCGTAGAAGCTCTGTCGGGCAAGCCATGTGGCTGCTGTTGCCAAGTGAGCTTTTTGAGAAGGGGGCTGGTGATTTGCTGGTGACCCGAGCATAGGGGAGAGGGATGGAGGGAGGAGCAATTTCCTCCTCCTTTTACACAAGTCTATTTTCCTAAAGGTACGCTGCCCTTGGTAGTTGCAAAAACGAATCATTACGTGGGGATTGGGCCCAGATTTCTGTTCCAAACCAAGGGATTTCCTTTCCCTCCCATTCCCAGCCATGTGGTTTGCTTGCTGTTGAGTTTCGCTTCAGTCTTTGAACTAACGTTCTGTGATGGTGCTGCTGTTGTCCTAATGTAAGAGCTTAGCCTGCACATCAGGGACTGCAGCAGTTGTAGTACCCAGCTGACCCTGGGGGGGAGGGGTTCGCCACGTCCATTACGATGAATAGGGACAAGGGGAAAGACGAGACTTTTTGGTTTTGCAATAAGAGTGGTGACGAAAAGGTTCTAGTGAATGTGCACTGCCTGGCCATGCCACTTCTTCTCTGGGTTGGTGTGTTGCCACGGTCCCATGTAGTTAGCATGTTCCTGTCCTTGCTGTGCACCTCCATCCTAAGGGAAATGACACACTGGGTCAGTTAGCTTGTGGGGACAAGCTCTCATCTGGTGCTGTTTGCAAATGAGTCACACCACCTGTAATAGAAACAAAAGACAGGACTATGCAGCACTTTAAAGACTAACAAGATGGTTTATTAGGTGAGGAGCTTTCGTGGGCCAGACCCACTTCCTCAGATCAAATAGTGGATACCCTTCGGTATATATGGTCATGCCAATTTTCTTCCACTATTTGATCTGAGGAAGTGGGTCTGGCCCACAAAAGCTCATCACCTAATAAACCATCTTCTTAGTCTTTAAAGTGCTGCACAGTCCTGTCTTTTGTTTCAGCTACACCAGACGAGCAGGGCTACATTTCTATCACTACTCCACCTGTAATAGAGTCTCTTTTAGTGGCTGCCACTCGAGGTGTTACAATGCCAGGGCATCATAGCACTCCAACGGCATGTGGAGACTGTCAGCTAACACTTGCCATTTTAACAGGGACTTTCTAGTAGCCTTGTGTCGTTTGGGAGAGTAAAGAAGAGCCCAGCTGGCATGCAATAGGGATGTAAAGGGTTAACCGGTTACATGGTAAGCATTCGCCTTACTGGCATGCTTGCAGGGTAACTGGCTAACTGGCACCCGGCCAGAGCAGCCCCCCCACCCGCAGTGTGGTGCAACGGGCCCTCCCTGGCCCGGCTGGAGCAGCCCTCCACCTGTGGCATGGTGCAGCAGGCCCAGCCGGGCCCACCACACCATGCCGTGGATGGGGGCTGCTCCAACACTCCCCCTGCCCGTGGTGCGATGTGGTGGGCTGGTGAAATGGAATCTTACATCCCTAGTATGCAACACGTTAGAACTGGTGTCCAGCTCTCCCCAGCAGTCGGATACCACATGGGCATCGGGAGAACAGTTACACTTTGAACAGGTGCCTCTGTCCTTTGTGTGGATGCGGCTCCTTTTTTGAGAAACCCCAGGGAGGAATGATCTGAACTCCTGGGTCCTGAGGAATTGTCTAGAAAGGAAAAGTGTGGGGGAGGGATTGTAATTGACTAAACGTGCACTCTTCAGTTGAATGGAGCTTTTAGGTGTTGCCCCAATACAAATGCGAATCGTTCACTTGAAATAGCCTGGGTCTCCCGACTGTTACAAGAGGAGCATGGGCTTAGGCAATGTCTATGCTGCACTTTCATCAGTCAGACATTTGTCGGTCAGGAGCGTGGGATAAAAGCCCCCAGACTCCAGCCTGCCAGAAGTTTTGCGGATGAAAAGCCAGAGGTGTGGACAAGGCCTTGTTGGTGGAAGACACGCTCACGCCAGTCAAACTACTGCTCATGGAGGATGCTTTTCTTTCGTGGCAGGAGAGCTCCGTCCTGGCAACAGATTGGCTCCACCGTGTACCCGACCGCAGCACTGCTATGCCACTGTAAGGTGCACAGTGTAGACCACGTCACTTGCACACATTTATAGGGAGCTCAGAGTCGCCTTGCTATGCATGTCAAGACCTGGCTGGAGGCTTTGGTGGCTCTTTCAAGAGCCAATACCTCCCAGATACCCTAAGCAGTGTAAGTAATGCCGCTTGCTGCTGTCACATTTGCCTCACGGGACAAGACTTTCCTTCTCTTGAACTAGAAAATCTCCACAGGAGATTACCAGTCAGAAGGTGAAGCCAGGACAATTACAATCACTGTCATTTCAGTTATTACACAGTTGCCAGAATGCTGGGAAAAGGAAGTCGTAATTAACACTGATCAGAAAACCGAATGTCCATGTCAGAAAATGGGGGCTGGACTTGATGACCTTCTGAGGTCTCCTCCAGCTCTGTGGTTCTGAGATTCTATGAAATGTTGAGGTTTCATAAAACATTTTATCTTGGGTTCAGGGCAAAAATTAACAGCCTTGGAATTATTCTGCAGACGAAAATCTGAACTTTCAAATGTGGAGGCCTGGGCTGGAATGTTTCAATACATCATCAGAAGGCCTGGCAGGCTCTTGTCAATTTCGTTTTCTCCCAGCAGGACGAAAATGAAACTGACAAGAGCCTGCCAGGCCCTGTCGCTTTATGTTCCCAATGGAAAAATGAATGTTTTGGCAAAATTGAAAATTCCCTGAAAAAAATTGATTTTGCGGAACAGGCACTGTCAGAAAATCCCTACAGGCTGTAGCAGCAATGTCCAGGTGGCAGGAAGCTTTGTTTTGCAGACTCACTAAATACGTGGTTTAGAGCCAGAATTTCAGATCAAAACATATTACCCTTATACAAGCTAAATGTCGCTACTAGACAGTGGCACATTCCACTCCGCCAGGCAGAGAGGCAGGGGCTTGTCTAATGGCAGTCTGCCCGGCAGTGTTAGCAATGGGGGGTGGGAGGGGGCCACGGGAAGTGACAGAGAAAACCTGAAAGTCCCGTCTGTCCTTTGCATTGTCTATTATTCTCTGGTAACTGCTTTGTGTATTTGCTGTCCTACCCTTATTTACTGCTGCTCAGACTGTCTTTGGAGGTTATGACCATCCTCTGTCGCTGTGAGAATATTGAGACGTCGGAGGGGGTCCCACTGTACGTAACAGGGGTTGCACAGGTAATAACCCACCAGCTTCCTAACCTTGTGTCTAACCTTCTTCTCCCCCTTCCATTCAGCAGCAGCAGCAGGATAACAGAAAATAACTTTTCCTCTAGTGGGACAACAGCCACCTCCTCTCTAGGCCCCTTCTCTGGCCTTTGCCTCGTGGTGCACTCCATAGCTCTACAGGTAATGTAGAGAGATGCGACTGACGTATTCCAAATTCACTGCAATGCTGGCTCCTTTCAGTAATGCTGCAGACATTCCTGCCAGGCTGCACTCTCTCCTCCGGTGGCTCGGTGCTCTTCGCATGCCAGGGGAAGACAGACTGGGAGGTGACGCCGGGCCCTTTCCTTTCCCGTGCTGAGCGCATGCCCATCTTGAACGCTGTCTTACCCGGCTCCACGTGTGACCGATGCTTGTACCATGCCTAAAACATCTATGGAAGTGCTTGGTATTTATCCAGGAGTTGAACCTTCCACTGGGCCGCTCCCCGGGCTCCTGTATGCTATAGCTCCAGCAGAACTGGGGGCTCTTTCCACATTGGGTAGAGCTTGCAGCAGAGGGGGGGGTCTGTTAAGTGTCCCCTAACACAGCTACAGCCTCGTCCTAACTGTTCCATCTAGTCCTGGCTATAAAGACGTGGCCGGGACTCCTACTTGTCTGCACTGGACAGCAGGGTCTGTACAGTCGGCTGCCAGGCCTGTGGGCCGGTTGAATTCGGCTGTGCAGAGTGCGGACTCACTGTAGCACATTTGAATGACTTCACAGAATGGTAACGTGGCCTATTCTGTGGATCCTGCTACTTACTCATAGCGTACGCGTGTGAACTAACGTCTGCTGACATCACCCTTCTGACCTGTGCATCCTTGGTTTGGCTCAGAGCTGGCTTTAGTGCTGCTAGCCAGGTCTCCAGTAATTGTTTCAGAATTCCCATGCCTTGTATTAGGGGTGTCTGAATTTAGGATACGCAGCTCTATGGTTCTGTCTTACTTCTGATAGGCAGCTTCCTCTGCTCTTGTAATCCGCCCCCCTCGCCCTCCTGCACACTTTGGTCCTCCCCCGCAGGACTCCACTGGGTGGAATGAAGAGGAGAAAGGATCGGGTTGTGACCGCCCAGCTGCTTAAAGTTCCCATTTGCTTGGCTGATATTGAAGAGTAGCTGTGGCCCTAGAGCTCACTTTTCATAAGCTTGGAGTCGCTGAGGAAAGAGGAAAGCCTGCCCAGATGCCTGGAACTGCAAGCAACAACCTACGTGCCAAACTCCTGCACCTGGTGTGGGGTAGCCCACACACCTGGGAATCACTGCCCGATTGTCCGAACATGGGCTGTTTAAAAAAATCAGCTCCTGGCCTGGAGAGTGGGACTGGGAGGGACGACAGACCAGGATGTCTTCAACACGTGCTTGTAACTCTTCTCGGAACGCTTCTTGCTGACTGTTGGCGCCTGTGTAGGTACTCCAGCTGTTGACGTGAAATCCAGCTGGGCTTTCTCAGTCGGGGACTGGGCTTTTCAATGACCGACGCTGACCAAGCCGATCATTTGCTGCCTATTGGTTGGGCAATTTGTAATATACAAGCTTTTAGACAAAGGGGCCTTTGGGAGTTAGCCAATATCCTGTGAGTTAGCTTAGTAGGGATCCCGTGATCTTGTTCAGTCTGGCTTCAGGCCTTTCTCTGTTTAGAAAATGTCTGCGCATTATCTGAAAATCTTACTTCTGTGGCCAGCATGACCTCTGTGGACTGCGTCACTGCACAGCATCCTTTACATTACCTGTAAGAAGTGTGGCAGGTAGCCAGGGGCAGGAGGTCCAGGGGAAAAGCTGACAGTGTGTAACTGGAAACGTGCAAATGTTCTACGTTTTTTGGCAGGATTTCCCTAGAGATAATGACGTTACAGCCCAGGTGTGAGGACGTAGAGACGGCGGAGGGGGTAGCTTTAACTGTCACAGGTGTGGCACAGGTACAGTAACTCCAAAACCTCATTTCAGGAATGCATGTCTCTAACCTACCTCCTAATTTTTTCCTCTTAGAAGGTTGCTGGAGTCCCGGAGCAGAGGTTAGCTGCTCTGGAACGAATGCTTGTGCGGCAGCACTGTCCCTGCTGTCGGTTACACTACAGCATGTCCGTGGAACGAGGGAGGAATGTGACTTCTCCCACCTGCCACAAGAGCACAACCGCTTTTCCAGTGTTCTGTCGCATTCATTCACGCGGCTCATGGGGTGTGTATTGGTGGGGTGACCTCCTTCCGAAACCTGCAGTGTGCCACAGCTCCTCTTGAGCTCTGTTCTTCATTTCCCAGAGCTGAACCATTTTGTTCTGAAATCGCATCAGTCCTGCTGCTTTGCATTAATATTAACAGGCATTTGTACAGCACCATAATTCTACGTGGTGGTTTACAGATGTAAAGAAAGACCTAATCCCTGCATCATGTGTGTAATGTGTTTAAAAAGAAAACCACAAGGCTCTTGTGCTGGAGTTGCATTCAGATCGTAGTGAGCCTTCTGGCACAATGCATAGGAAACGTCTGTTGCTTCTGAACTGTAAACTCCTATTTTTCGTAGGTGTAAAACTCAGCTAAGAAACTGACTTGGGATTTATTTCTGAGATGCAAAGTCTGCTCCCTGGAGAGTTTGTGGAGGGAAATGTCACGTTTCGGTGCTGCGTTCTGCTGCCGGTCAGGTAGCAAGACGTCTCTTGAAGACCAAACAAAACGAGGTCTCCTGCAGCTCTGCACAGCCCGTCTTTCAGTGGGACGTGAACTTAGACCAGGTGGTTCGTGCAGAAATGGTTCTCAAGGTGCATTTAACTGAAGCGTTGCACATGGCTTCTTGCGCAAACAGTGTGTACACAATCACATCCCTGGGAAAGGACACGGCTAGGCCCGCTTCATGTATCAGGAGCGGGAGCTTTACTCTGCGGTTTTGGTCGTGTCTGTGTGGTGGGGCCAGGCGCCAAAAAGCCATATGTTTACTCCACTAGCAAGAAACAACGTCATCTACTTGTTTTGCAGCTGTTGGGCTTGGGGGTTTCATGAGAAAATTTTGCTCCATTTCTTGGCAAGATCGCAAACGGCCTTAAACCCATGAAATTCTACTGCCACCCATCTGCCTTGTTCTAACAAGCATGAGCGCCCTGGCCCTGCCAGAGTGCTGCGCACAGCAGAATGGCTGCACACCTCAGTCACCAGAGAGAACCTAGAGCCACACGGATGCTTCAGAGCGCCTAGTCATGTGGCTTGGGCAGGTTAGGAGATTTCTTCCAGGCTCTGTTCGACTTTTAGCAAGTCGTTTAACCAGTGGCTGTGTCTCCTTCCTCCGCACAGCAAGTCATTAATGCCTGTAAATCTTTGAGACTGTCAGACGGGAGGTGCTGTTATTGGCTAGTATATTTCAGTCTTGGCAAACCACTTGTTCCTACTTGACTGCAGACATGTTTGTTAGGGCAGGAATAGTGTCTCGGGTTTAGCGATTAACTGACAAGCAGGTGCTGATTGGTTAATGCCACCAGTTACGGGCATTCTGTCCCCGGGCCCCCGCACAGCTCTGCGAGTAAATCTTTCAGCCGGCAGGCCGGCTCAGTCCCGGCAGCTCCCCATGCCGTGACTCTGCACTAAAGGTAATTTAGGAGCCGGCAAGCAGGGATACTTTTTGTGCAGAGCCGCAGCGGGGTGCTGCCGGGATCTAGCACAAGCCAGGACGGAGCCTGCCTGCCGACTGCCGTGCTGCTTTCGGTTCAGAACTGCTTAGTGGCATTTGCTGTGGATCTCTCTGTTGAATGTCCCATTTTAAAATCCAGTGCAGACCTCCCTTGATTTATTGTGTGCCTTTTCATAGCACCCACTGTTCTTCGCTGCCAAACATTGAACCCCAATGGAAATGTTGCAGTCCTCTGGATCAAGAATTCATTGTAAGGATTTTTAACCATTTGGGGTGTAATTTTAAAGGACTCCTCAGGGTCCCATGTAGGTTTTAAGACACGTGTTTCCATAAATGCTTTAGTTTGGAAAGGAGAAGACTGAGAGGGGACATGAGCCGTTTTCAAGTACCTAAAAGGGTGTTATAAGGAGGAGGGAGGAAAATTGTTCTCTTTGGCCTCTGAGGACGGGACAAGCAGCAATGGGCTTAAACTGCAGCAGGAGAGGTTTAGGTTGGACATTAGGAAAAACTTCCTACCTGTCAGGGTGGCTAAACATGGGAATAAATTGCCTGGGGTGGGGGGTAGAATCTCCATCATTGGAGATATTGAAGAGCAGGTTGGACAGACACCTGTCAGGGATGGTCTGGACGGTGCTGGGTCCTGCAGGGGACTGGACTTGATGGCCCCTTGAGGTCCCTTCCAGCTCTAGTGTTCTGTAGCTTTATGACGTTCCAGTGGAAAGGCTTTTAAAGTACATTGGCGTTGTCCTTTGTGTTGCATGGAAAATGTGTTGGAAGCACATCACTTCTTGGGTCCAGGAGATGCTTTGGGGCACAGGGGTTTGTGCCTCGCAGGTTGCGAAATTGCTCTGTGCCCTCACACGAAACTGCAGCTGGCTGGCTTGTGCCTGTGCTGCTTTGATGCTGTGCCTTCTGCTGCTTTGACCTGACAGTGGGAATGCTGATTCCTTGGGCCTTACAAAAATCACAGCCACGAAAAACACATCACAAGCAGTGAAATCTGGACTATACCCCCCTCCCCTCCCTCCGGAAATCAGATTTCAGGGGGAGACCAACACTTCTCAAATTGGGGATCTTGCTCAAAAGTGAGTTGGGGGATCTCAAGATGATTTTAGGGGGCTGCGGTATTGCTGCCCTTACTTCTACACTCCTGCCTTCGGAGCTGGGCAGCCAGAGAGCAGCAGCTGCAGCAGCACAGAAGTAAGAGTAGCACACCCTCTGCAGTAACCCTGCACACCCCACAACTGCTCGTCGGGTCAGGATCTCTGCAGTCACGGGACATTTCCAATTTCAGTGTGACATTCACCGTTTTTAAATCGCATGACTGGCCCGGGGCACTGACCCAACCGGAGCAGGAGTGTGCTAGAACGCCCGATTCGCTGAACGGGACTCGCTTCTGAGGCACCGGACCGTCACGCCTGCTAGAAAGCCCTTGAATTGTTTGACATGAGAGGGGACAGGAGAGCGGGTTTCAGGTGTCTAAAAGGGTGTCACAAGGAGGAGGGAGAAAACTTGTTCTCCTTGGCCTCTGAGGACAGGACAAGCAATGGGCTTCAGCTGCAGCAAGGGAGGTTTAGGTTGGACATTAGGAAAAAGTTCCTACCTGTCAGGGTGGTTAGACACTGGAATCAGTTGCCCAGGGATGTTGTGGAATCCCTGTCCCTGGAGCTAGTTAAGAGCAGGTTAGATACATGCTATCGGGGTGATTTAGACAGTGCTGGGTCCTGCCGCGAGGGTGGGGGGCTGGACTCGACCTCTCGAGGGCCCTTGCAGTCCTAGGATTCCACGATTCCGAGATTGGTGTTTGTGCGGCTGGCTGGTGTCACAGACTGGGGGCCTGCAGACGCCGTTTGTCTCACCAATGTCGGTGCGACTGTCGCCTTGTCGCTTGTGCTCTGTGGCCTCCATCCCGGACACGTTGGAAAGCCCAGTCTGGCCCCATCGAGGGCAGCCTGTCCTGGGCACTGGGCTTTGTGGGGTGGGACGCCCCCTGCCCGGCCCTCTGCTCTGTGTGGTTCCTTTGCGCAGGAAGGAGCGGCCGGCGGCGGGGAGGGGGGCTTCAGTGGTTCGCGAGTTCAGGGAGCTCAGAGGCCTCGTGGCCGCTGCATTCCAAGGCCGAGGCAGGAAGGAAGCCGCCTGCCCGAGGGAGCGTAGGCCAGGACTCGCAGCAGCAGTGAGATCGCGCGGGGGGAGGGGCAGCGTCCAGAGTCTTGCCGTAAATCGGTGACCCTCGTGCTTTGAAGAAGACGCTGCTGGCGTCACGGCGAGGCGTTGGCAAGGGGGTGCCCCTGCTTCCTAGGGGTGGGCAGTAAAACGGCAGCACTTACCCAGGATTAACCCCACGCTGACCCCTCGGCTATATATT